TATAATTTTTTTCTCTTTCTTGTCCACTCTTTCTTCTCTCTTCCCAACTCCTCCGCGCACTCGTTTCTCCTTCTACCTCACTACCTCTCATCTAATTTAGAAATCTAGCTTTGTACTTGGATTTGTCCTGCCTCTAAGCCAGTACCCCACTCCTCTCTTCTTCGTCATGATCCTTTCCCTCATCGTCTCCTCCCCCTCTTCTTCCTYGTGGCCCGCTGCTCCACGAGCCTCTCCCGCCAGTCAATGTATGCCTGGATAATAGCGCACAGTCCACCCGCCTTGAAGATCTGAATGGACATGAAGTCCTGGTTACCGGTCCGTGCTGTCTTATATAGCCTAGAAGGGTATGTCCACATAGCTTACTTGTGCCTCACTCAAATGACGCATCACTACCATTTGCCCTTGTTTGAACGAATCTGCCCAAACCTAGGTAGTAGGTCCATCCATCTGAGAAAAGGCTGCAATGCAGTCCCTAAAAGGAGAATAGGGGTTGATAAAAAAATTAAAATAATAATAATAAATAAAGACTGGTCTTGGTGAGACACCTAATCGATGGGGTCGTGGCAACACCTACGTAGACCTCTTCTCCGGAGCGAACTCTTGATCTACATTTTAACAGCCCGTGAGTGCGCCACCCAAGCTAAGCTTGCTGGTACCTGCTAGCCTTGCTGCAGCCCCCACCAGAATCCCTCCGGTCTGATGTGCCCAGGCGTAGCTCCCCTACTACCGCCCCCCGACGGGCATGCTCATATCCAATCCTCACAGTGGATCGTGGGGTCAGCGGACGTAGGCCCCCCCTGGCTGTGCCCTGCTCTTTGTGCCCAGGCATAGTCCACCATTTTTCTGGTCCCCATGGTAATGCCAGTGCTCACCCTGCGACCCCAAATCTGCAAAATATGCAGTTTTGGGAAAGGTAAAAAAAGTTTTTCTTTCTTTTCTTTTTGGGCATAGCTCATGTCACACGTTGCTGTCCCTGGTATTCGTGGGGCCTTGACAAAATTTGTGTAACTGCTCCCGCACCTTGCCACACCCAGTGGTCATATTCACTCTCAAACCTCTCACTGCAGATCCCCAGCTGGTGGATGGATACTCCTGCTAAGATTTCCTGACAGTTAGGTTCTCTACCGTTTTATGCATGTCTTCCTTACGCAGCGGTCATGCTAATCTTCTCTGTATCGTTCCAATTTTTACGGATGTCCCGAAGGGCTAGCTGGGAGCCGCGTCCTTGGGACATCGTCATCGACCGACCTGCCTCAGGTAACTCAAAATAACTTTGGTCTTACTTGCCAAGTCCCATTGTCTGAGCTCGAACACAGGCTGTACTTCAACAGTTCAGTGGTGTATCCACTTGACAAGGATCTTGGGTCACAACCGGTCCCGAAGACCAGTACCGGCCTCGTCCCAAATGAGAGAAAAAATAAAAACAAATAAGAAAATCAAAGATAAAAACTTAGAGATAATAACACAGTAATAATAAAAAAACGGATGAGGGAGGGGACCCGCTGGTACCTGGTCTTCTCCCACGGGCCTGCTGCCGGACTCCCCAACAAAACCAAGGGGGATAGTCCTGCGGGACCCTCAACCCCTCGATTTGCTCCTGTGTTCCTCCGCCGCTCCGCTCTAGCCTCGATCCCGATACCTGCCTAGTGATAGTTCAATGACGTAACCTATAGGGTTAAGCCCCAACCTGGTTGTAGCAGGCGCAGTCCTACTCATAAAGAGTAAGGGCAGTCTGTCCAGGCCTGCAAACTGTATCTCAGGCCGTTCCTCTTACTTACCGCTTGCCACCAAGGGCCCACAGGCACCCACGTATTACTTTGGGATCACAACCTCGCTAGGCTTGCAGTGCGCGTTGGCGCATCACGCTGCGGCTATGGCCGGGCTCTCCTATTCCCTCTTATTCACCGAGCATCTGCCCGTTCTACCACCTTTGGGCCGAAAACGCCTCGGCTTCTACCCACTCCGCCCCGGCTCACGCCGTCCTAGCTAAAGCCCGACATGGCTTCTACTGCCGGCGGCGCACGATCAACCTCGTGCCTGCGACATTTCGCGTGATGCGACCCGGAACCGTCGGTCCCCAGTGAGTCAGACAATGCTTTCCTCTCAGTCACCGCCTTACCTGATCATTCCGACCGTGCGTGTGAGCCCGCGACCGCCTCAGAACATCTAGCTTAACTTTGATCTGTCCTACCGGCGTCTCATGGCCTTCCTCGACCCAGACTCGAGCAGGCTAACGTGTACCCGTGATGTGCACGCTCACACACTCCCTAATCAACGCAAATGGGACGCGCCCTCTGATATCGTCAGGCGCGTTCTTCCTGCGAGCTGCAAAAACGTGCCCAAATAGCCTTGTAAGGGTATTCGGGCCGACAGGTTTTCGGACCTTATTAAGCGACGTCCCCGTCGCGTCGGACAATCAACTCTATAAGCACGACCACAAACTCATCTTGCTGACAAGGAAACGACCAATCCGGTTCACCGGCTCGACTCCGTTTGAGGTTGTCTTATCAACCTGCTCCCGTCACGACGTTCCACTGCCAGGGTTTCAACCTGGGTCTCCCACGTCCTGGCCTCGGAGCTAGGGGATACTCTGTTCCATACTACAGCATACTACCCGCTCCCAGGCAGTAGGTCGATAGTCCTCTCCTTTCGTCGTAGACATGTGTCGGCTCACCGTTGGGTGTCCTGTTTACTCATCGTCCTGCGAGCGGGGTCATAACTTAGGACGCGGGCCTTAACCGAGGCCTCTTAAGATCCGGGGCGCCTTTAGCTGCCCACATGGTAGTGCTTACCATCTCAAACCACAATGAACGCCCAACCTGGAGTCCAACATAGGCGGCTTCACGTCTCCATCTTGGCCCGCCATGAAACGGTTGATCACGCCGAATCCATGGCCCATCGCGTTGTTATGTAGCGGTGGTGCCCTCGTTGGTTACGCAACGATAAGCAACTTTCCTAACTTGGCATCCCGAAGGGTCCTGACTCTTTGACCTAGTCGACCCCAATGGCCTTCCCTCCGGCTAAACCTCTCCGGGTGGCCGACCCTTCAAGACTTAACCTTCAGTAAGTCATGGTCCCACTGCCAGGTTGCGCCGGTCAGCGGCCCTCACTGGGAGTTAGGTTCTACAGTTCCAGCGATGCTAAGTATAGCCCCTTAGCTTGGCCTCACAATACGTCCCTTAGACTAACCCATGTGGTCTGACACTTTCTTTCACAACAACAGTCAAGGGATCACCTACCGCCGCCCACGGGACTACGTGGAGGGATAGTGCCCTTCTCAATATACCATCAAAAAATCCTCGATAATTCCACAGGGTCGTGCCTCCCTTACTCTGATCAGAAGAAGGTGAGGTCACGCGTCTTTTTAGGGATACTTACAATATTATCCAGGTTCCAACATAGTTGCCAGAAATTTCCAACTATAATTTTCACAAAATACCTGGTCTTTCCTCGTTAGACTTTCACATACATGGAAACAGTTATCATCACTTATTGCAGCTCTCCTGAGTGCCCTCACAAAATTTCATCCTTCCAACAAAATCTAACCGGCCATAGGACTTCCCCATCTCATTTCTGAATCATACACAAAAAACACAACTTTAGTTGTGACCTCTCCATTCGACATCTTTGTTCATACTCAGCACACAATTTTCTCGCATGTGATGCGCACTCTCCTTTAGCTGTACTTAGTACTTTGCCTGTAACATGACAGGTAGTCCTAAGTATAGAGAAAGGATAGTGTAAATCAAGTTATCATAACAACATCTCACAAGATTCACGCATATATGGGCAAGTCCACAACTGATGTGAGCGTGATATACCACACAAATCTTTATTAAGTATGAGTCTTACATATACACAAGGAAAATGAGGGTTTTGTAAATAGGCAAAACCCCTGTCACACTCAAAGAAGAATCAAAATATAGTATAGAGAAGTCAACATGCCCCGAATAGGCCAAAGTCTCGAATGTCCAAATGTCAATACACACTGCACACTACTCATGCTACTCACACATGACTCACATGAGTCCAACACACTCTACTCTGATAAGAGAAAAGAAAGGAAAGTGTAACTCACATAACACTTAATGTACATAGTCTCAAAGAAAGAAAACAAAAAGATAGTCGAACTCATACTCAACACTATCTAATGTACACTCTGTCCTGAAGGTCTGCAGTATTGACAGTAAACATCCCATTAGACGGCTCGGTCTACTGATATACATGGGCGTGATCCGATCCTCCATGTGTCCTCCTATATACAATCATCTATCAGTAGAGAGTCAGAGATGTTTTACTCAGACCAAGGTTAGACCTTTCCGGACCCTAATGTCAAACCCTAGTCAATCAGCACCTCACCTATATGTCTGTACAACTGCATCCTACCACCATCACGAGACTTCTCAACCAAATTACCACTCCTATCCCTCCAAATCCCAGTGGATACTCTGGTAACAAACCCTCTCGCCTCATCCTCATAGAACTTGGGGCAATCATCAGAGAAGTGCTTGCCCTTCTTGCAGTAGAAACACTTCCCAGGCTTTTTTTGTGCCAACTTCTCTTCCTCCTGCGAAGGTACTGAGGATGAAACTATCGTGGCCTCGCTCGTAACCTCCTGCTGAGGAGTCTCAGATGGATCGGGGCAGGCTGCTCTCTTCTCTGTCTGTCTCACTGACCCACTTGCTCGAACTGTTGAACCAGACCCTGTGGCCCATGAGCCCAACGCCTCCTCCAAGCCTGCTGCCAAGGGCATATCCTGAGGCGTGGTAGACTCCTGACAGGTCTCCTGGCCTACTCTCTGCTCAGCCTCAACCTCGCTCCCCTGGACCAACTGCCCCTCAACAACCATCTGATTGACAGGTAGTGCCCCCTCATCTCTCACCATCTCTGCCTGCTGTGTCATATCCAGCCCCTTGCGAGTCTGCTGGAGTGCCACGGTGGAAGGCATCTGCCACTCAGACTCTTCATTCTTGGCTTTCTCTTCCATGTGCATCTCCTGAGGTTGCAGCATCTCTTTATCCAGCAGAGGCACATCTTCTCATGCCTGTAGATTAGCCTTTTTTTCCTCCTTCTGACTTTTGAAGGCTTCCTCTGCAGGTGGCCTCTTCATTTCAAATCCTTGGACCTCAGTCCAATCCACCAAAGCTGTGGGAGCCCTCTGCTCGAGCTGCGCTTCCAGCTCCTTAATTCTCTTCTCCCACTTTACCTCCTTTGCCTGGAAGGAAGCCTGTTGAGCCTGCAGATAGGCCCTCAAAGCCTCGTTGACCTTGTCGAGGGTCTGGTTCACCTGCCTGATCGCCTCATTGCCAGCCCAAGCCTTTTCCAGTTCCACCTTCATTGCGTCAAACTCGCGATCCTGTCTCTTCTGGTTCTCTTTCAGATCCCTGGTCTCCTGCTCCCATTCCACCCTCTGACCATAGGCCTTCTGAGCCACCTTGGTCAACCTCTCTCCAATCTTCTGATCTGATGCTCGTGCGGCTGCAAATCCTTCCTTCATTACTCCCTTCAACGTGAGCAAGTCTGTAAGGACCAACTTCACCCCCATCTCTTGCTGAGGTCCCTCTGGTCCTCTCGCAGCTCCCATCAACCTATCAAAGTTCTCCCACGCTTCAAAGAGTAGAGGAGGGTCTTCTTCCTGCTGGTTGCTTACACTCTTTCCCTTTTTGTCCTTCAAGTCCACCGGCCATTGTCCTTGCTCCACTCTCCTGTGGAGTTCCTCCAGGTTCTTCCTCCTGACTTCTGCTCTGATCTCCTGTTCTCTGGCCGCCCTTTCTTGTCTGTCCAAATCCTTTTCTCTCGCAGCCTGGTCCTCATCCATCCTCTGTTCTGTCACCTCACGGGGTGCTTCCTGTCTTACTTCTGCCATAGACTGATCCTCTGGCCTCTGAATAGACTGAGGAGGAGCCTCAGATACCTCTGACTCTCTCCTCCTTTGACTCCTCTCAGCTGGCAGCTCCCCTCTTCTTTCCATCCTGTGGGTAGAATGCTCCCTTCTCCTCTCACCCTCCTGAGATCTGGACGAGGTACCTCTCTCGAAGGTCCTTCTACCCTCAGCCTCTGGTTCCTTCCTTTTGCTTTCCAGACTCCTCCTTTCCTCTGCCTGGCGCCCTGGATTGTAGTAGCCCCTCAACAATCGCCTGCAATCCCCCCAGTGCATAACCCTCTCCACAACGCTTTTGACAAACTGTCTGATAAACCTCCTTACGAACTTGATGAATCCTGTCATCTTTCCCTCTGGTGCGATGTTTCGCTCATCTGCAAGACGCTCGTATGCCCACAGGAACTCATCCACGTTCGTCCCATCAAATCGGATCGGTACTCCATCTCTCCCCACGGGTGATGAGTGTAGTCCCTCCATTCTCCTCTCGAACTCCGTTCAGGTCGTTGACGCTCGTTGGCAATGGGCTCAGCCCATTCGCCCTCTCCACGTACCTCTCGCAACATCCTCGCTCCATCCCATCCAAACTCGCTCGCGTGCCATTGGAACTCGATCAGAAATAGTTCGACGTTCCCTCCTGTGAAGATGGGTGGTCTGTCTTCTCTTTTGGCCCATGCCTGCATTCTCTATCTGGTTGTCCCCTGAGGCGGTTCCACTGGCCCTGCCCCTCCTTTCCCTCTTGGCATGGCTGCGCCAAAGTGGTGTCAAGCCTGCACAACAAGGAAGAGACAAACAAAAGCACACAGAGAGTAAGCAGGTTTTGACAACACAGTGAGAGACATACACATCCCATCCCACCTAGCCTATCCATCTGTATATGCATACATACACATAAACACCTATTCCAATTCTATAGTCTGTCAGAGCATCCTAGCGACTATCTATATAACCTAACTAATATCTTTATTAAGTGAAAAATACTTAGCAGGAAAGGACTTCTAGCTTGCGAGCAACAAACTTCTTCAGCCTCGAGCCTGACACCCAATCTCTCCAGGCTATTTCATCTATTTCCTCAATCTGGTACGCGCCATGCTCTCCAACTCTTGCCACCTTGTACAGTCCCAACCACCGCTTATCCAACTTCCGTGACCATTGTTTCTCTAGGGATGAGTCGTACAACAACACCGTGTCTTCCACTTTGAGTGACTCCTTCCTCACTCTTGTCATCTTGTCCCACCTGAACTTATCTTGTGCCCGGTTATATGCCACCCTACTCGCTGCTCCTTCAATCCTGTCTTCTATGGCTCCGATCTGACGCGCCCTTAAATCGAGCAGTTCCTCGAACGTCAACTTTGACTCGAGGTCCTGCCGCGTCCATGTCTTCAGGAAGCTCTCGATAAGGAATGTTGCATGCCTGCCATACCATAGCGTGGCTGACACATAACCGATGCTCCTCCTCACGGTGATGTTGTCTACAAAAAAGGTCACTCTAAAAAAATCTGGCCACTGATTTGGCCTCCCATTGGTCCATTTTGCCAGAAGGTTCGAGATGGTGTTGTGTCCGCTCTCCACCGGTGCATTTGCTTGAGGGTGTGCTGCAGTAGTATACTCAGCAATCACCCCTGTCCATAACAAATCTGGAGACAAAGGGGTATCGAAGGTAATATTCCTCGATGCATCGCGCTAGCGTCTTGCCGGTCTTGGTGCAAATAGCCCTTCCGTGCACAACCCCGGAGAGGTTATCGCGTGCATCAAAGATGAAGTTAAATCCCCTTGTCCCCAACGACATTACTAGCAGGTCCAGATGTACGACGACTCCAACCTCACGAACGTATCTTGGGTGAAGCGGTTCCCTTGGCCTAAGGGAAGATCGCTCCTTACATGGGATGCAAGATTTGCAATAATCGTTGATCATTTTCCCCATGCCATCCTAATAGTACAATTCGTGTATCTTGAGATATGTTGTGTCAGTACTCCTGTGCCCTCCAGCTGTGTCGTCGTGCAGGGCGGCCATGACATCGATCTGACGAGCGATGCCACAAACTACCTCCTGGGATTCCTCCCCTTGCTCTTCATGAACAGGTGCCCATCCTATACCAGAAAGCTCGGTCTCATCTTCAAGACTTTCTCGCTGGCATCTCTTTCTCTCATTTCGCACGAAAGAAGCATTCCGAGTTCAAGATAAACCCCATCATACTCTTCTGCTCGAAAAGCCTCCTAAATCTCGCCTTCTTCGAAATCATCGTCCTCCCTCTCATAGATCACATTCTCACCCCTTTCCTGATTCTGCCCAGCGTTTCTGGCCACTTCCTCCTACAACAAGGCATTGGCCATGAGATAAACCCCTCCTACAGACCTTTCATGATCCTCCATCTGTCGGGCTCCATCGTCCATCGTGATTAGGTCCTCACCTAACTGGTGTTTGTCTGCCAAGGCCAGATCCATCATCCACTGCACATCCGACATTCCCCATGAGTCCTCCTCCACATAGGGTTTAAGGACTAAGTTTGGCAAGCATGCATACCCTGGAGGTGTCAGCCACACCGGCCGTCCAGGAGTAATGTAGTTACCTACCTCCAAAGACCAAGAGTTGATGTGAAGTCTCACATCCTCTCATTGTCCAAAAACCCATCGACTGGGGGAGTCACTCCTTCGCTGTTCTTGCCCCAGTCGACTCGACTTAACCCATCCGCCCTATTTTTGTTCTTTGGAATCCGCTCCAGCTCAAAATCAAACATCCAGATGTACGTCAGCCATCTGGAAATGGTTGGATCTGAGGGAGCGTAGTTCTTCAGCGAACTCGCTAGAGCGGTTGGGTCCACCCTCAACACGAACCTGCTGCCAAAGAGGTAGTTTCTGAAAATTCTCAAGCAGTGGAGGACTGCCAAGGTTTCGCACTTGAGCTGAGAGTAGTTTCTCTCAGCCATATTAAGTGTTCGACTCTCGAATCTTAGTGGTCGCTCCTTTCCATTAAGATCTTTCTGGATCAAAACTCCTCCCAAAGCAGTCGGTCATGCATTTGTTTCTATGATAAAGAGTCTGGTCATAACGACCGCATGGTCTGGTACTCCCAATACCAGTCCTCCTTCTCCAAACTCCTTCTTCAGGTCCTTTATCACAGACTCCTGTCTATCTCCCCACTCTCAATCTTGTCCTTGGTGCACGAACTTTCGCAGGTGTTCCGTCTTCGTTGCAAACCCTTTAATAAATATTCGTCAAAATCCACACGTTCCGAGGAAGCTTCTCACCTCAGTAATCGTCTCGAATGGGGTTGGCCATTCGAGAATCTTATTGGTCTTCTTAGTATCTGGCCGACGACCCTTCTCGTCTCACACAAATCCTAAGATAGTCGCTCCTTGCATACAATGCTTGGATTTCGGCCCACTTGCAGTGAGGTTATGCTCTTGTAGCAAGTCCAGGACTTGACACAAGTCCTGCACATGGTCCCAAATAAACCGCCTGATTTCCGACATTACCTCCTGCTCATCCTTTACCTTCGACCCTTTCACGGCCAAATCATGGATATAGGGTTGCGTGATGTGAGGGCTTATTGACTGCATCGCTCTCACCATATGTCTCTGGACCATAGCAACCGCATTTGTCCACCTCTGCGGTGCGACATTCATGTGGATCAACCCTCATGGGGTATGCATTGCCGTCATCGACCTGTCAGATGGGTAGACAGAAAACTGGTCATAACCAGAATACAAGTCTATCAGAGATATTATAGCCCTCCCAGCGCATGCCTATGAAAGCGCATCTGCGTTAGGGAGGCCACCTGCATCTCTAACAGTCACAGCATTCAGGCGTTGTAAATCCTGTACCCACCTCAACGTCCCATTTGGTTTGATAAAACAAATCCATGGGGATGCATATGGTCCGCTTGAGTAGTCCGCCACATGTGTGCGGATCTTCCCATCTAGGTAGTCAACTACCTTCTCTTCGTGCCCATGTAGGTAGTCAACTACCTTCTCTTCGTCAGCAGGATTAGGATAGCGTGCGCCCCGCAAATTTCACGGCTCATGCGGCACAGTATGTATTCTAATCATGAGAATTTTAAACACATCCAGGCGTCCTCTCTCATCATCATTGAAAGCATATGCAGTATGCCTTCCTCTTATGGTTTCCACCATAAGTTTCTCTTCCTGCGCTGTAAGGAAGTCAGTCTCACCTATAATCAACGTCTTCTCAGTCTCCGGATGGATACGATATGGCATGTTCGCAGCATCCTCTCGCAATTGCCGTATCAATTCTCTCTCCCGCTCATAGTACACCTCTTTTTCTTCAACTACGAGCACCGGAACAGGGCGGCACTTTTGATCTACCTTTTTGTACCGCCTTTGTGAACCCACCTCTAAAAAAGGCCGAGTTGCAATTTGAGGTAGGGTTCCCACCATCCCGCCGGTCCCTCCTCATACCCGGTATACCAGATCCATCTCTCCAGCTCCCATTTGTTCCACTACTTTCTCCCTCAAGGCTTCCACGGCCGCAGGGTCTGCCATCCCATAGGTCGACACTATATCCATAGCGTCACCTATGCTCGCCAAGCTAAGGGTCATTGCTTCTGGCCGTCTTTCTTCTTCACTGTCGAATCCCCTTAACCTTTTTCTCTCTTCTTCTGACTCCTCAATTGTGAAAGAGTCAGGGCTGGGTCGATTCCTAATACTCCTTGGTCCCGTGTTCTGGCACGTGACAACCTCATAGTTGCCACACACGGGATCACACATGACCAGGAACATAGTCCCGTCATGCTTATTCAAGATGACGGTCTCTGTTCTGCTAAAAAATGATCGCCCCAGAAGAATAGGGTGACCGAGGTCGGGCATTACGAAGAAGCAACTCCTCACTTTTACCTTCCCGATCTCCAGCACCACCTTGGATGCGGTCCCCACAAAAATAGACCGACTATTTGCTCCTACCAAAATACCATTGTCGAAGCGGTCTATCTCCATCCTCAGGCGCAGGGCATCCTCCTTCTTGATGAGGTTCATTTTTGCGCTTGTGTTCATCATTGTCGTGCATGCTTTCCCCTTTACAACAACATCAAAACACCCGCACGCTACGGACTTCCAGTCCATTTTCGTACCGGTCTTCGACCACTCAGCTTCCTTAGGGATTATGACCCCTAACCGTACGCTAGCCACCATCTTCCTGCACAAATGTGCCTTGAGCTCTTCTCGCAGTCTCGGTTCTGATGCCAAGACATCTTTCAAGTTCATGAGGTGGTTATGTCCTTCAAGGATTCGGTCCATAATCTCTTCTACGTCGAATCCTTTCTCCACCCTAACTGTGTACTTCTTCTTTTTCTGCTCTGGGGCCTTTTCCGTATCGGCCTTAACGCCCCTCTTCTTGGCTCTTTGCTCCGCCTTTTCATCCTCCTCGTTCCTTAGGTGGTCATCCTCCTCCTCCTCATTCACGGGAGGTTCTACAACTTCCTTCTCCCTGCTCGGCCCGGGAATATCCTTAGCCGGCGGTTTCGGACTCGCTGGCCCTCGAGCTCTCGTCCTGACCGCCTGAGCGGCCCTCCCAGATCGTGAAGGCGGCCTAAAGCTCATCCCTGATCTGGGAGTCCCTCCTGTGACCGATACATTCAGAATGCTCACAGGCGCCCCCTGCGATTTCGGGCCTAACCCATATATGAAGACTTGTGGTCTCTGCCCTTCCAACTCCTTAACCTCTTCGCATAAATCTACCATCTTTCCCTGGTACCTTCGAATTTTATCCATTAAGTCTTCCATATTCTCCATTGTCTGTCGGGCCGTTCTCCAATAGTCTTCCCCTGTCTCAATGTGCAACGGCCTGTTCCAGTAATCCTCTTCAATCTCATCGTCCGACTCTACTATGAGGGGCTCAACCTTAGTAGTGTCGGCTTTCCGCTCTTGCTCCACCTCTTCGTTTTCTCCCACCTCTTCAACCCTGGTGTCACTACGAACCCCTTTCTCCTGCCATATCTGAAACATGGCTGGAGGAGCGGGTGGTTCACCTGCCTCGGCTCGTCGTAGGGCCTCCTTCCTTGTTCCGCCTGGGATCCTTGGATCAAGGTGGTACCCCCCCTTGTCGTACATATCCCCATCATAGTTGGTGCTGATTAGGCCTTCGTCTTCATCGTTTCTCCGGACATGGCAGAACTTGATAGTGTAACCTTTCTGCCCGCAGTGCCAACAAATGGCGTTCCTCCAATCTATTCTCCCCCTGCCAGCACCTCTTCCACCTTCCTGGCCACATTGACTCCCGGATGTTGTCCAGCCCTCGCCTCCCCCGCCTGCAGCGTTACCACCACCATTCCCTCTGTCGTTTCTCCCCGACCACCATTCCCTCGTCCTCGGCCCCACCCTTGATTTTGTCCTCGTCCACCGCCTTGATTGCCTTGTGACCCTTATGGGGCGGACTGCTGGGGTTGGGTTAGCGGTGGGGCTGGATGACTTACTTGTTGGGCTTGGGGTCCTGGGCAGCCACAGGAAGCCGCGCTCATTGACGGTCCGACACATGATCCATGTGGCCCACTCATGGGCCACAGGGCGTATGAACAGTGTCCATGCCAATGACTCGGAGACCCACAACCTGGCCACGGCCCATAGGGTGCTGGTGCAGCTTGATGGGACGATTCAGGAGGGGGCATTGCCACAGCCTGCGGGACCTGACCCCTCCCCGAGCCTTGGCCCCCTTGAGCCAAGTTCCTTGCTTTCCTCTGAGCCTTAGTCAGCTTCTGAGGCTCGGGCTCCTTTTCCTCTTCCTCTTCTTCTTCGTCCTGCACTACTGCCTTTTTCGCTTTCCCTACGGTCTGTGGCGCTGCCATGGTTTTCCTTTTTGCCTCCTTCTCTGCGTCGAGCTGGGCCACCGCGTCCTCTATCATTTTCTTGAAATCACGTCCATCACTCGTGGTGACATCCAAAGCCTTCCTCTTCTTCCTAGCCTGCCTCATCTGGAAGATGTCTACCTGGTCCAGTTCTCCGTCCATTACACCTTCCTTTATGGCAGCCCAAGTAAGCTTCTTTCCTGACGCAACCTTCTTAGTTAGCGACGAGCCCTCCCAGTTCTTGAAGTGCCCTAGGAAAGTGGCACACTGCTCCTCTTCTGCCAACCCTGGGACTTTCTTTGCCATTTTCTCAAACGCCGTGGCGAAGGACCCCACTATGGAGAATTCGTCCCATCTCAACATTTCCAGGTCTTCTTTGGTGAGGAGGCCGTCACCGAACTTGAAACGTCTCTGCATCTCCTCTTTAAACTTTGCCCACTCACCATTTGCGCCGACCGCTACCTTCATTACCTCAGGTCTAAGCTCTCACCATACATACCTAGGCAGCAACTTGAATTTGTCTGCTTCTGACGCCTCGCTAGTGACCCGCTCCAGCAACTCAAGCCACTCGGACACTCTATCCCCGTTGAAGTGAAAAATGTTAACCTTGGGCACGTGAAGTCGTGCCATCTCTGTTTTTTCCAATGCCTTGACGAAGTCATCAGGTGTAGCACCCAGGCCCCGCTCGATTCCGTCGGCGTCCGCCATCTTTACGTTTTCTCAAACACCAGTTGAGGGACGAAAGGTTTTAACAAAACAATCGGCTATCAAGTCTCTAACTTGCCTACTTTCACCATTCAACTACTATCTTTATTAACTGAAGTAACCTATCAGGTCTATATTATTACTCTGACCCTATCGCGGAAACGGATACACACAATGCACACTTCCGACCTTACTCACAATCAAGGCAGACAGATCTGACGTGTCATTGAGAAAGCCACCATACTCAAATCATCGTCAAGGAGAAAAATCTTTCCATCAAAGGTTGTCGTTTTGCCTGGATCATCAGCCTGCTCTTAACCTGGGTTCGTTCACTGTGGACCCCGGTAGGCAGCCGAGATCCCCGACAACGACCCCACCTGTCGAGCGCATCGGTCCCGCACGGGGACCCTCCCGGCCGCGTCACGCAGGATATGCAGGACTTATTGCGGAGAGTGTTTGCCGCTCCGGCCGAGTGCGTCAGCCGTACCTCTAGCGAGTCCCTACGACAGGACAGAGTCACGAGAGGCACCGCTACCTCCACCTGCGGGAGTTGTCACCATCCCTTAGGTGGGCGTATCCCTGCTGAGCAACTGAACCACATGTGAAAGCTTTTCGTATGCAATTGCAGAGGTGGCCCAGCCGAGGGCGTTTCTCGCTCGCTATAGCATAGGGGGTACGCGTGGTCGAACGCCCGAAAATCGAACCCGTACGCGAATCGCCGTCTTGGGGGGCTGAAGTCCCAAACGCCACTCGGCGTCGGTCGACTAGGACGCACTACACACCCACGCGTTATACCATAACACTCGCACTTACTCACCCATAACACCTGAAGCCCCACGCGAAACAAACACCATAAACAACGTCACAATACAACAACTCCTAGTCCCTTCAGTATCTGACCCATAACTATATACGGCAAGACTCAGGTAGGTACCGCGTGCTGAACTTACGTATAAGAGGCGCGCGAGTGCATGGCCCCCTCATATCGATCATGCGGGCATATGCAAGCATTTGCGCTGACGGGGTACTATGTGGAACTCGTGGCCTCGTGGCCCTTGGTATTCTCGAGGGTCACGTTCGACACTCAAGTGTCGGCTGACAGGCGCTTTGAGGGGTAATCTCTCGACGCCAGACAACCGCCATGTGTGGTTGAAGACCACACCCTCTTCTGCACCCTGTGCAGAGGGGTTGAGTAGACAGCTTTAGGGTTGTCGTGGTAGCCGAAATCAAGGGGTTTGACTTTGACGGCTACCACGGACTACAACGTCCAACCATGAAAGTTCAAAAGAGAAACCTATTCCAACTCGCACTGGTCTAGTGGTCTCCTAAAATGGAAGGGGTAGGCAGGCCCAAACGACGCGCGCGCGAAGGAGGTCCAAAGTCCTACCCGTAGGCTATCCAATGTCCGGGGTAGTGAGGCCCGTACACGGGCTCCCATAGGTCGACTGGGACTGATCCTTCGCCCATGTGTCGCTTCGCCTTACCACAAACCCGAGTCTATTGACCGTAGCGCACTCTTGGTCTCGCCGCCTGACCCATAACTTTTAGTACGAGGATCGGCGAGTGTTGCGCGCAAGGACTTAGGATAAGATAGTGCGGACGCAGTACCCACACATACCAACTCACCATGCAGTTTTACGTGAGTATCTGTGATGACGGCGCATTACGTGGTGTCCATACCCAAGTGGTCTATTATGAGCCATGGGGTTATTTCTGACGCTCAGGCGTTGGCTGAAACGCGCGCTAGGGGGAGGTAATCCTCTAGCGGGCGCAAACCCGGCCTGAGGGCCTTTCCGTCTTCTGCATCCTGAGGTGTCCCAAGGGGTGCAGAGCAAAACGGCCCCTAGGGCAGGAAGAAATTTGGAGAGGTGGTGAGTTGTCTGGCGCATCACCAGCGACACGCTAGTCCTTCCGCCCGGAACTTTTATCGTTCCATAAACCAAAGTTAGACAAAGATACAAAGATCGGCATGCGGTCATACAACCGAGTGAGGGCTGTGCGAGCGAGGGCTCAACCACAATATATAAATAAGGGAAAATATCCTTAGTCAAACAAAGAGTTATGTGATAGTACACTCTCACAATAGCTACGTGGCTTGCCCGCCTGAACTCAAAACAACCAAAACATCATACTTGATTGACATGCTCCACACATACCTGTGACCACATACAAGGATCAAACAACAACACATACACTAAAAGGGTCAACTTTTCAGCCTTCTGCAGCTCACACTCTGCCTTGTACACAAGCCCAACCTTTTCCCCACCATTCCACAACAAAAATACTCAGCCTTTAAGAAATGACAATTTATAAAGAATCTGGGTAAAAACCCAACAAAACAAAGAACCAGCCAGGGCCAAGGCCTTCGGTTGAGAAGCAGAAAATGATGAAAGGTTGAGTTGTATACCGACGAATCGGCAACCGACCTGTTATCAGTGATAACAGAAGAATAGTCAGGCTGACCAAGTCAGACCTTCAATCAATACGCACGGCGTGCACCACAGCACAGGTCAAAGAGATTTCACTACAGTGTTTAGCCTAAGTAGGGAGTAATCCTCCTAAGTCACATCCTAACTTCTCTACTAAGCTCCTACTCAGCTTCTGAGAGGTTCAGTAACACCTCCCTTACTCAGAGTTGAGTTGCTAAGATTGTCTAACTGAAAATATTCTAACTCTCCAAATTTTCCAAAATTTCGGCAGCGCTTCCCGTAGGAAAAGTGCCTTTTCATAATTTCTAGGAACCTGAATATGACTAACTTTTTTCAGTTTTGCAGAAATTTCGGCAGCGCTTCCCGTAGGAAAAGTAGGCTGCCAAGATTTATACAAAGTTGAAAGTCAAAGTGCAAACCAAAACTATACTTGGGGCCAACGCCTGATCCCTTCTTGACAACTTAGGCTCAATATTGGTCCACATGCCCTCTGAATGAGGCCACGAGCCAACGCTGATCCCAACCCCCAGCAGAGTCAGTCCTACCTCATCCCAAGCTTCCCTCCCATCATTCATCTTACCTACCTATGGCTCCAGCACTCGGCGAGCATCTACAACAACTACTCTATCAAAAGATGTCCCAAGTGAGAGCCCACGAGCATGCAAACGCAAACATCTCTCACAATCCCACATGGTTCTTTTCCAGGCCACATAGTTCGTTCAARAACCCTCATTATTCCATTTTTACCCTTCCTTACATAAGACATAGGGTCAGTCAACCCAACTTATGGATGTGACTGACCTGCCAGTTTATATGACTAGGCCACACCAACTTATGGTGCCCTAGCCTGGTAACACAAGTATACGTATGCATAAGACCAAACCACACCAACTTATGGTGTGACCAGTTTCTGTAAAACAATCGACATAAGACGCATGATCGGGCCGCACCAACTTATGGTGAGGCTGGTCAACCTGAACGTTCGGCATACACATAAAACTGAACCTCCTCAACTTATGAGGGGCCAACCTCTGCCTAAACAACAACAAAAGACATATGACCAAACATAACAACTTATGTTGCGTTCGGCCAACCCACACGGTTATATACGGCGTAGAGTCAGGCTACCCAACTTATGAGTAGTCCAGCCCAGCCTAGACATAATCACATGCGTGAAGAACTGAACAACCCTCAACTTATGCGTTCGCCCAGCCTTCGCAATACAACCATGTTCAACTTATAGACATAAGGCATAAAACTTACCACAACAACTTATGTTATGATAAGCCTATGTCTGAACAAAATGACATAAGGCGTATAACCAGGGCGCACCAACTTATGGTGAGACCTGATCAGCCTAACTCTCGGCATATACGAAAAACTGAATCACCTCAACTTATGAGGAGCCAAACCTTTGCCTTAACAAACGACGAAAGGTATATGACCAGACACAACAACTCATGTTGTGTCTGACCTACCCATACAGTGACATATAGCATAAGACTAGGCTACTCAACTTATGAGTAGTCTAGCCCCGCCCAAACAACAACAAGCGCGTATGACCGAACAACCCGTAACTTATGCGTTCGCCCGACCTTCGCAACACAACTACATCCAATAGATAAGTTTCATAATCAGATTTTGTCTTCAGACGAGTGGCCAGGTCACCTCAACTTATGAGGATCCCTACCCAAACGTCAGATATGTTTAGAAAAGAAAAATAGCCAGACTTTATATATCTCTTTGCTTCCGTGTTATCAAGGACATAGGGCCAACTACCCAACTTATGGGTGAGTCAGCCTGCCCATAGTTACCACACCATTTTATATTGTTCATCTTTTTTCCCTCTGCTTTGTCTGCCACCGGCTTATATGGCTGGATCTTCCAACTTATGGCGTTCAACCTGCCATGAATATACATAATAAATATGTATTACTTTGTATACTCTGATTCTCTTAGTGACGGCGGCTCATGACTTGACCACACCAACTTATGGTGCGAATAGTCTCGCCTGAAACAATAAAGCACAAGGCTGAGTCACACCAACTTATGGTGTGGTCAACTTCTGCCTAACAATTGACGTAAGGCGTATGACCGGGTCCCACCAACTTATGGTGAGACTAGTCAGCCTAAACTTTCGGCATACCCAAAGAACTATGAGGAGCCCAGCCTTGCCTGAACAACGATGAAAGGCATATGACCAGGCACAACAATTTATGTTGTGCCTGACCAGCCCATACAGTTACATACAGCATAAAACTAGGCTACCCAACTTATGGGTAGTCTAGCCTGCAAAATAACAAATAGAACAGATGCGATCGACTAAGCAGCCCGCAACTTATGCGTTCGCCCAGCCTTCGGCACATAATTACAATCCTCGTGTTGTCTGAATTCAAT